AATATATCTCTAAATCTAGGTTGTGGTTAAAAAACGCTTGCCAATCCCTGGTATAGAAAACATGGAGGAAGAGGAAAAGCGTGGGGGTATGAGGGCACTGGTCTTTCAGGCAAACATTTGGTATATCATCAAGATGAACAATACTTGAAGGTCGGGCTGGGGATCCTTCAAAGAACTTTTATTATCTACTTGCTGCCTAGAATCATGGGGACTTCCTGAATTTTGATTACAAAGTCTAGATAGGCTAGCAATGATTTTCAGACATTAATTTTTAATTCAGAATTAAAAATCCAAAACAAAATAGCTCACAAACCTCTGAGGAACTTAAGTGTACCACTTTGAGAACTTACACCTCTCCCTTTCTTCATGTGGATCAGAAAACAGCACAAAATTACAGACACTCCTTCATTTTTCTTCTGCATGGTGGTAAAATCTACTGGGTCCATAATTTCAGAGGTATCTTTAAGAATATGTCAGATGGTATAGGCCCCCAAAACTGCCTTTCCTTACATAACTGTAACTCTAGAGGCAATCTGCAGGACAGAAACATATTTACAGCTATACTCCAAAGACAGTCTTCTATTTTCTGTCTAATCTGGATTTCTATTTCCACTTTAATAGATTACTATCATACAGCACTGTGGCTCTTAGTTTGCAAGAATGGACAGTGTTGCCTCATGAAAGGTAAGGCTGACTTACTAAGACCCGCTTTAAATAGAATACAACATTTTGTAAATAATAAAGAAAATATAATGAATGTCTGATCAAGATGGCAGAACAGACAGTACCCAGAGTCACCCTCTCCCACAATCAACCAATTTACAACTATTGAAAAGCAACGACTGCCAAGATGGGGCCTCAGCCACACCCCCCTGAAGTATGAATCCAGCCCAGCCATATCCAAGCTGCTGCTGGAAGCCTCCTGGGCTCCCGTGGCAGAATGAGGCGGGGTGCCATGGGTCTTGACCACACCCCCTTCCTCTTCCTCGCACCCTATCCTCCTCTCCTTTTCCCTCTCCCCCCTACTCCCAACTGCTCTGCAACAACGTCTTAGAATGTAAAAAAAATAAAAAATAAAAATAAAAATAATTAAAAAAAAAAGAAAATATAAGTAATGAGTGCCAGTTTATGACTGGACCACATGGAAATATATGTTTATGGGAACAATTATAGATGTTAAGTACAATATTTTAAAACTATCTTGTAACCAGCAATGTAAACAGAAGTAATCATAGTTAAAACCATTAACAAAACAATTCAAACTCATGCCAAGATCAAACATTTACAATACTTGGAACCAGTATAGCACTTTTTGGTCTTCAAATTGCTTTCATATCTTGGAACTCTAGACAAGCAAAGGGATTTGAATACTCCAGAGAAAAAGATAAATAAAAGTAAAATACCAATTCCACAGGATATCATGGATCTAATTTCTTTCTTGATGAGATCTATTGACTGACTGTGCACTGAGTCATTCTTAACTAGGGTACAAGCTGTTCTTCAATCTCTGCTATGTAAAATATCTTCTCATTATTACACACATATCACCATCAAACTAGAGAATAAACTGGGAGAGGTCATGGTTTTATGGCAACCCACAGCAAGTGATGCTGTCTTGACAAAAGATAAAATTACCTCCAACCCTGAGTTGAAACTATAGGAGAGCAGCAAACAAGCCCTGTAGTATTGTTTCAGAGGAAGCACAGTGATAGCTCTGCACTTCCTTCAGGCCTCCTCTGTCTTCCCGAACGAACTCCAGGGAATGGCATCATGTCAGGCTTTCCAGATGGATTATGTGAAGCCATAGCTCAATGTCATTTTCAATAGGAAGCCTCATAATTAAAGGTCAAATAGTCACTTCATCTGCAATCAATCAATAGAAAAAGTACTAATACGAAGAACTAATCAATCAATGGCAAATGCACTAATAAAAGCAATGAATCAAATTCAGCATGTGTGTGGATGCAAGTACATGAAAGAGTAAATAAGACAGGGCAAAAGCAAGAACAATAAAATAAATCGAAGGTGTATATACTAGAGAATTTCAGAAATTCTCAAGCAGGAGCTTTCATCTTTGGTTTATTAGTTATGTGGGTATCACTTTGCCTGCAATGACTTGTTCTTAAATACAAATACTAGATGTAATAATGAATGGTATTTTGTAAGTTTCACTTAATGTATTCTATTCAAGATGTTAAAGATTATATATATATATATACATAAAATCACTAGAAGAAATATGACTGGTAGCAAAAGGGAAAGATATATTTTTAAAGTGCCAAATAGGTATATTACAATCTGTTGTATTTCATCTTATGTGAGAGGTGAGTGATACTACCTGAAATTTTCCCCTGCTTTCTGGAATATGAATTCTTCACACACTGTGTGATGTTCTTTCATTTCTATGCAGAAAATAATTTACATTAGGATAATTATCAGCCTGTAGCTCAGGTCACTATCATGGCATATACTTTATACTAGTGATGTCAGGTCACCAGTACAGGGAAACATGCATCGGATCTTGTGATAATGGATACAGTAAATTTATAGGGCCTAACAAGTCCATTCTAGCAATAGCATCCACACATTCCTTGCTATATGTGGAAATAGGGACAATCTCTCTTAGATAAAGGAAGCAGCAAAGAGGCCATTTCAATAAATGCTACATGAGAGACTGCAGGAGGGAAACTAGGTATAATCAAGGAATGACAGAATATTCAGTTGGAAGTAGAATTCCTTAATCTTAGAGCTAAAGGAACTGAGGCCTGGGGAAGTATCAATGGAAGAGCCAAACTGAGTATTTAGGTCTTACAATTTTCCAAGAGAGTTTAAGTCTGTTGTGAAAGTAATTAAGGATGTATACTACCTGGTTACTTAGATATCATACTAGTGTCTTACTGGAGGATCTCAGTATCTACTCACATGGAAGAACACTGCAAAAGCAAACAAAAATCCAAGTTAACCCAAGTCTTTTTAGCAAAACAACTACTTGTGATTGATCTTCAGAGCATCTATCTGCTTGCCTGAAAATCAGCATTCAGAAAGCATAAAGAACAGTATGGCATTGGGATTAGGGAAAATGAAAAGATAAAAAAAAATTGAATAGGCAGGTATTTTGCTTATAGAAAAGAATACTGGTCACACTGCAGTACACTTCTTGCTTTGTTCAACACAGCCAGCTCTAGCACAGAAGAACATCATGGAGAAACAAAGAAAATCCATTTTGGTTTTCCTGACAAAAGCAAATCCCTAGGAGTGGGTTGGGTTTAAAAGCCATTGCGGAAATGCAGACATACTCATATTTGCTGCAGCCATGGGTTAGCATGTGTTCTAAGGACACAGGCTCATTTGATCCCTGCACTCTACACATCTGAGGAGTCTGGCAGCATCTGCCATTGGATTCCCTAACTTTATAAAAGTCCCTTAGTTTTTAGAATTCCTGGAATACAAGACACTACATCACAATAATACACATGAGAAAGAAATGCCAGACGACTTATTTGAGACAAAACCACACACGTTACATGAAAATCTACAAGATGGGGTCAGGGGACTGGAACTCTGGAAGTGGTAAAATGGTTACAACTAATATCGTTAACAATAATGACTAATAGTAGCTACTGCTATAGAGTATCTCCTGTGTGCCAGGCAGCACAGCATGCATGTAGGTGGGCCATCTCATTTAGTCCACAGCAATCTAAATACAGTACAATCACGACAACACACTTTATCATATATTGACTACCTATTATCTTCCAAGTATTGTGCTAGGTACTTAAATTTTATCTTTAATCTTCACAATAACCTTACAAAGTGAGTATTATTCTTCCCATTTTACAGATGAAAAAGCTAAGGTTAAGGGAGGTTAACTAATTTGTCCAGGGTCACAAAATCATGATTGGAATATGGCTCCAAAAAGCTCTTTTAAACTTCAATTTGATGATGATTATCATGAAAATCAAACATACTACAATGCATGAACAGTTTATATATAACTTATTCAAATAAGCTGAAGCCCTAGATAACAACTGCTAAATCATTTCCCAAACTTTGTAAGACAGACAATAGACTCTATTAGGTAAATATGTTTGGGATTAGCAGACACATTATCAAATGTCTTCATTTTCTAGTTTATAGACTGAAGTTTTTTAATGTAAGCAGACTTAGAGTAATGTTATGATTCTTAATTCTCTTAAGTCACATGCAAAAATGTAGAGAAATTTTTAATATGAGTTTTTGACATAACATGCCTACCACCTCAAGGAGTTTGTGCAAGATGTATATTTATATTTCAATAAAGTTTCTGATTACTTAATGACTTTTAATGACTAAAAACATACTTTCTGGATGTCTAACAGGTTATTGAGATAATGCCATTAAATTGAATAAAGCCGAGTAGAAAATAGCACTTTTCTTCTTAATCTATTTTTGTCCATTAAATACTTATTTCAATTTTAGTGCTAATTCAATTGAGCTAATGATAACTTACTGTGTTTCTTTATAGAAATAATATAACATTCAGAAATAAACTTCAAACTAATGTCAATATCAAATTAGAGTAATACCATTATTCTCACCTTGCTTTGAGCTTCCAGAAAAGAAGTTAACATTTTCTAGGGGCAATACTAGAGCCTTCCAAACAAAGTTTTTGCCAATTCCTTTTTGAGAAGCAGCCTCACCTACCCCTGGTACCCTCCCCAACCAGCTCTAAAGTTAACATTCAACACTGATAATCTTTTATGAGAACTGAAAACATGATTACAAATTAAGCTAAATCCTACAGTATTAAATTTAGGTCCTCAGAGACTGGTTCAATCAAGTAATAGTATTTCAAATCAATGACCCATCTTCACTTTGCTATTGTTCTTTATCTATCAGAGTGGACAATATCCTATTCCATTTAATCTAAAGAGTTCCTTGAATTTCAAAATCGTAAGATGTAACTCTTATGTAAATCATAAGAGGGTAATAGATGGTTTTAAACTCTGCGAATCACTTACCCAATGTGAGAGATTTGTGTGTAGAACAGAAAATGATAGCCACTGTATCTGCTGGTGTGAAATCCGAATTATTCCTAGGGACAAAAAAAAGATTTTTTACAAATACTTTTATAAAAAGTCTATCTCATACATCCTCAATCAAATGTAGTACTTACCTTCATATTAACATCCCTTTGATCAATCTTGGTGACAGAAGTAATTCTACACCAAAATGTATAGAAGTGTCTGAATTTCTTTTTCAAGAATCACTTCTGAGTCATTTATTTATGAAAAGGAAAACAGTCTAAAAAATTCATGGTGGAGGTCTCCAAAGATCACACATGTAATCAGCCTATGGTGTAGGACTTTATGAAAATAACGCAGCAAGGAACTCTTTTAGCTAAGTCTCTAGGTTATCACTTGATATTACCCAGTGGCTTGAAAGAATTAATGTTATCTTCAAAAATACTTCTCTCGGGCCAGCCCGCTTGGGAGCGCGGTGGCGCTCCCGCCGAGGGTTCGGATCCCACATACAGACCGGCCACTCACTGGCTGAGCGAGGGGTGGGCGCAACACCGAGGGGTGCGATCCGTTGCCGGTCACGAAAAAAGACAAAAAGGAAAAAAAAATACTTCTCTCAAAGAGACATTCTTTTGTAGCAAACACACACTTCTGAGAAATATATGGTATGAACAAAGACTTAACATCATATGTTTTAGTAAAAATAATAAATTATAATTTGTTGGCAGTTACCACATATCAGCAACTTGTCTAAGGTCTTTACGTGACCTCATAAGGTAAGTGATACAATATCCCTATTTAAAGATGAGAAAACTGAGGCACAAAGAAGTCATGTAACTTACTCATACATAACTTAGCTAGTAAGTGACAGAACCAGGATTCGAATAGAGTCTAACTCCTAGGCTTCTGCTCTTTTTTTGTTTTTTTTCCTTTTTGTCTTTATTCGTGGCCGGCAACGGATCGCAACCCTCAGTGTCGCGCCCGTACCGGACCGGGACCGGCA